TTTAGAATTTTTCTAAATTCTCCACCTTTTCATTTCCATTCTCCACCTCATTTATTCTGCACTTTTTCTTTTTCATTCTGCACCTTTTCTTTTAATTATCCACCTTTTCTTTTTCATTCTACACCTTTTCTTTTCATTCTCCACTTTTAATTTTTCTTTCTTCACCTTTTTTTTTTATTCTCTACTTTTTGTTTTCATTATCCACCTTTTTTTTTTTTCTTTGCTTTTTCTTTTTCATTGTCCACCTTTTCTTTTTTATTCTCCACCCTTTCTCTTCATTCTCTACTTTTTCTTTTTCATTTTCTTTCTTTTCATTATTTTCTTTTTATGTAGTATTTTCAACTAAACCACAGATTGTTAAACACTTTCAAGAGGAAAGAATTCCTAGATCAACCTGCTATAATATTTTAAAAAGAATGGAAAATAAAATACAACCTGAACGGAAAGTTAGAAGTAAACCACCGGTGTTAAAAATGACCAAGAGTTTGATCATTTTTAACACCGCCGGTTTACTTCTAACTTTCTTAAAACCGGTGTTAAAAAAAGGCAAGAGTTACACTTGTAAATAATTCAATTGATCATCACCATGGAATTAGCCAACGTGCTCTTGCCAAAAAATTTGGTGTGTCTAAATCAACAATATTTAGAACGATAAAACAGAAGACAAACATCAAATATTACAAAAAGGAAAAAGCGCCTAAAAGAGCTATTAAGCAAAAAGAGGTTGCATGTACAAAATGCTATCAACTTACTAAGCTTTTTCGCAAAAAACAGGTCATAATTGATGATAAGTTTTATTTCGGTTTGAGCAACTTCGAGTTGTCTGGAAATTCAGGATATTATTCGAGCGATCGTGACATAAATCAAATGAATTCAAACTTAAAAGAGTTCCAAAGTTTGAACCTAAATTGTTGGTCTGGGTAGCATTGTCTCCTAAAGGTAGGTCAAAACACTTCATTGTACCATCGGGTTAAGCAAAGATTAACGAAGATGTTTACTTAGATAAGTGCTTAAGATCTAGATTAATTTTATTCATTGAACAGTACCATAAAAATTACAATATAATCTCCTGGCCTGATTTAGCATTGTCACATTATTCAAAAAAAGTTCAAGCATTCTTAAATTCAAAAAACATCAAATTTGTACCAAAAGAGAGAAATATTGCTAACACTCCAGAACTTAGACCGATCGAAGATTTTTGGAGTGAAAACAATCTAATAGTTTGTGCTAAATGCTGGCATGCTAAAAATTTAGAACAACTTCGTAATAGAATTGACTACTGCTTTAAAAACTTAGATCCTGATATAGTACAACGATTTGGAAGATTGTCTTTTACTCAAGTTGATGCAGCTCGGCGAAATGGAATCCAAAACTTATAATTTTTTTATTTTATTTGAATGATAATATTTTTTGTCTATAATTATCTTTTTTCCAAAATAAAAAATCTTTATCCGTTAAAAAGTTATTGAATTTTTTTTTTGTCCAGATTTAATTGGGTCAGGTGTTTATATATATATATATATATATATATATATATATATATATATATATATATATATATATATATATATATATATATATACATACTTTTATATATATATATTTATATATATATATACATATATATATATATATATATATAATATATATATATATATATATATATATATATATATATATATATATATATATATATATATATATATAACATATATATATATAAATATATATATATAAATATATATATATAAATATATATATATATAAATATATAAATATATAAATATATATATATAAATATATAAATATATATATATATAACTGTGCCATCAACCAACTGTGTCAGTCAACCATGTCCATGTCAGTCAAACAAGTCTTATTGACTCGATGCACCGGTTTAGCTTGCGCCTCTGTTTTTATGACTAAGCAACTCATTCTATTATCTCCAAATGAGGGTACAGTATTAAAACTCAGTTTTATGGTTCTGAGGCCGGCTGGTAGTCAGGTTCCCTGAACTCTGTGGTAGCTCTCAGAGAGGCTGATTCCATCAACAGCTGAAAAATATTAAAGTACTAACAGTGCCATGTTGTGCATGGATGGTGTCCCTGTTAGTACTTTTGGTGTGCATCGCCAAGGTCACATTAAAGCCCTTTGTTACAGCTTAGGGTTTATTAATAGTAATGAGGCGATTGCTTGGGCTATTAAACAGTGTACTGAGTACTATCTATGTTTCGAGTCAAGTTCTTTAACAAATTAAAAAATGAATAAAGTAACAAAAACTATGAAACACAAAATACCACAGTCATCACTAAGTTCGCAAACCTATCATTCACTAATATTTGTGGTCTTCGAAGTAATTTTTCTTCTGTTAAGTCCTATATCTTGCAAAGTTCACCAGGCCTATTTGCTCTTTGTGAGACTAATTTGAGTTCAGCTGTCTCATCTTGTGATCTTAGTGTTGATGGTTATCTTTCTTTAATCCAATAGTCACATGCTTGGCCTGGGAATTTACATTCATAAACATTCACCCATTTGTCAGGAAACTAGGTTTGAATCTACAGGCTACTCTTTTATGTGCTTTCGTTTAGCAACACTTTACTCTATCACCTTTCTCTTTGTTCTATATCGCTCTCCTTCATCTCAAGACTGCACTCTTCTTGATGTTATTTCTGATCATATTGACCAAGCCCTCTCTCTTTATCCATCAGCCAATATTGTTGTTGTCAGTGACTTTAATGTTCATCACGCTGAATGGCTAGGCTCTAGTATCAATGACTCTGCAGGCATTAAAGCCCACAACTTTTTGCTTTCTCAATTCCTAACTCAAATAGTCAATTTTCCAACTCGCTTTCCAGACAACCCGAATCATTTACCTTTTCTACTCGAGTTTCTGATCCTAGTCAGTGTCTCAGTTTCTGATCCTAGTCAGTGCTCAGTTTCTCCACATTCATTAAACTAGGAAGTTCGAGACGCGAACTTCCTAGTTAAATGATCTTACGCGATGCTCTATTATAAAACTGTAAGGATTTATGGGAGCACCCTAATAATTACCCCCCACCCACCCACCCAAATTACTTATAGAGTAGGTTAGGGTAATATGAGCTATCTGGAAACTAATCGTGGTATATAAGTTGTCCTTGATGGACAGCACTCTTCTTTTTATTCTGTAACCTCAGGGGTTCCCCAAGGTTCAAGCCTTGGCCCTATACTCTTTTTAATTTACATTAACGATCTTCCAGATATTCTCTTATTTAAGGTGGCATTGTTTTTGTTTCTATATTTATGAACGGTAATGTACTCGATGAGTAATCTACCCTTTATCTTCTAGGATTAACTCTTACTTCTGAGCTTTCTTGGAAACCTTATATCAAATCCGTTGCAAAATTAGCATCTGCAAAAGTTGCATCTCTTTACTGAGCGCGACACTTTCACTTTACTCTGGATTCTATTCTCTATTTCTATAAATCTCAAATCTGGCCTTGTATGGAATACTTTTGCCATATCTAGGGCGGACATTCTAATGATACCCTTTCTCTTTTAGACAACATAGTTAGACCTGCTCTTGCAGCCAACCTTCAACCTTTGTCACATCGTCGTAATGTTGCTTCTCTTTCTCTTTTCTACAAATACTATAATGGGCACTGTTTTAAAGAGCTAGCGTCTCTTTTGCCATCTACTAAAATTCATTCTTGTATTACTCGTCATTCAATTAAGTTCTCCAAAAACTCTTATTTGTCTAGTTTTTTTTCTTGAACATTAGTTCTTTGGAATTCGCTTCCTTCACTTTGCTTTCCTGATTCATATAATTTGCTATCTTTTAAGTCGTCTGTCAATCATTATCTTGCTCTACAATCTTCATCTTTTCCCTTCCAGTAACTTCCAACACTAATTAGTGGTTGCTTGCAACCTTGTTGAAAGTGAAGATGTTAAAAAAAAAAATTGAAAAATGACACTTTCTGTTTAGTTATTACTTTCTATATAATAATTTTTTATTAACCTATTCTTTTGTCACTTCCTATTCATTTTTTAGTATGACTTATTATTACTTATAATAGATTTTGTTGTATTTTTGTAATTAAATTAATAGTTAGTACACAGATAATTACATTTTGTATTGGCATTATAAAAATTACCTAAATAGGTATTTAAACAAATTTAAAAATTTAACTCTAACTGAAGATGACTTGTGATAGTCGAAACATGTATTGTTTAGAATGAAAAAAATGGTTTTATTAATTAAAAAGTTTGTCTTGTTTATTAATATATATATATATATATATATATATATATATATATATATATATATATATATATATATATATATATATATATATATATATATATATATATATATATATATATATATATGTATATATATATATATATATATATATATATGTATATATATATATATATATATATATATATATATATATATATATATATATATATGTATATATATATATATATATATATATATGTATATATATATATATATATATATATATATATATATATATATATATATATATATATATATATATATATGTATATATATATATATATATATATATATATATATATATATATATATATATATACATACATACATATATGTATGTATGTATGTATGTATGTATGTATGTATGTATGTATGTATGTATGTATGTATGTATGTATGTATGTATGTATGTATGTATGTATGTATATACATATATATATAAAAATAAACAAATTAGGCAATAATAAATTAAAAAAATATCACAATAAAAATACTTAATTTTGATTTGATTAAAAAGTTGTTAAAGATTATTTCACATTTTTATATCATACTTAAACAAACAAATGGAATTATGGAAACTCTTTCAAACCACACAACTGTGGAACTATGGGGAGGAGGGTGTGTTATACAAAGGACACAAAAAAACTATTAATTAAGTTAATTAAAGTATTATCTAGAAAATTCATTATTTTGTAATTTTGTTAATTTTTTTTTTCAGCAATCTTTAAGTTTTACATTTATACAATCTGCATGGCCCTATATAATGATGAAAGTTATTGACTATGCCGACTATAAGGGTATGATGCTTTAAAATTTTCTTGAAGTTGCACATAATATTTTTATTGTACCTGTTGATAGTCATTGGTACAACTTTTTTATAAAAAATTATTGTATTGTTGCAATGTGATGAATCTGTGCTACACACTCTGTTTAAACTAGGCATCTGTGTCTTCTCTTATCCTCTCGTAAGTTTGGTTTGCCACAATAGAAAACAATATTTTTTGTTTTTACGAAAAGAAAAAAAAATACCATATCTTTTTGTATCGTATTTTTATGAAACAAGTAAAGCATGTTTCTTTTTGTATCGTGTTTTTTTTTAAAACAAGAAAATTTTGTTTCGTTTTGTATCGGTTTTTACAGAACATTTCATAATTCCCACGCCCCAAACAGATAATTTACAATTCCCACACCCCCAAGCAATACATAAACTATTTTGAGATGCAGATGGTTAGTATAAAAGCTTGTAACTTTTATTAAATAGACTTGAATGTAACTTTGAAATTTTTCTTTTTTTAAATAAATCAAATGGGTTTTTGAGGTATTTAAATAACTTTTATAGTTTATTTTTGTTATTGTTATTTGTAATGAAATTACAATATTATATTTTAAAATACAATATTGCTATTTTTTGTTTTTATTGTTATTGTTTTCATATGATGAATTTAAAATTACTAAAAAATAAAATTTTAACAGTTAAGTTTTAGCACTTTGACCAGTGTTTTATTAATCTTAACTGCAACAGTATCTTTTTTCTGGTACTTGTATTATAGCATTGGATTTTTAGGTGTTATGGTTTTATTAAAAATATAATTGTATTGTTTTCAGTTATAACTTTTTTTGTTAACCATAAAATTTGTTTAAATTATTGCAGTAACACATTTTATCATAACTAAATATTTATTTTTTTAGTTGCATACTTTTTTTAGTTGCATACTTTTTTCAGTTGCATACATTTTTTAGTTGCATACTTTTTTTAGTTGCATACTTTTTTTAGTTGCATACTTTTAGTTGCATACTTTTAGTTGCATACTTTTTTTAGTTGCATACTTTTAGTTGCATACTTTAAGTTGCATATTTTTATTTGCATACTTTTAGTTGCATATTTTTAGTTGCATACTTCTTTTAGTTGCATTTTTCTTTTAGTTGCATACTTTTAGTTGCATACTTTTTATAGTTGCATACTTCTTTTAGTTGCTTACTTTTAGTTAATTCATGTTTAGTAATATCTAAAAGTTAATTTTAATTTAAGTTCAATACTGGTAAATTATGGTAATATCTAAAATGGTCTAAAATGAAAACTTTATAATTTTAAATTGTTATACCTTTTTTTTTTTTTTTTTTTTTTTCTTTTTCTATGTATAAAAACTAGTAAAACTCATTAACATTGCATTAGATAGGTAGTAAAACTTATTAACATTGCACTAGATAGGTAGTAAAACTCATTAATATTGCACTAGATAGGTAGTAAAACTCATTAACATTGCACTAGATAGGTAGTAAAACTCATTAACATTGCACTAGATCATCCATTCTTTTAACATTTTTTAACATCTTCCATTCTTTTCCATATCAAATGTGAAATCACATGTTGTAAGAGGTTTATTTTTATTTAAATATTATTTGTAAAAAGTTGAGGATTTTGAACTCTTATTAGTCATTGTTATAATTTTTTATGATAAGTTATTTACCAAGTAATGTAATAATTAACTACTTTTTTTATTATTTAAATTATTATTTCTACTTATGGTATCACATTACTCATTTAAATGTTTGTACATATGTGCATTTAAATATGTTTTTGTTGCACCTTTAAATTTTTAAACAAATATTAAATTTGATTTTGATTTAGCTCCGATAAAAAGTACAGCTAATCTAAAAAGTACAGCTAATCTAAAATGTTATATTCAGTATTTTATTATGGGTAAGAAGTTAATATTTATGTTTCTTTTGAAGAAATTATCTAATAAACATTTTGAATAGTATTATATTAAAATATATTAATAAGGGTTTCACATAAAGTTTAGGTAAACACTTATTGTTTCACACAAAATTTAAGTTAACATTTAGAGTTTCAATACCTTTAACACCTAGGGCTCCATTCAAAAGTGAATTTCACATCTTGGATTTCACAACAAAGTTAGGTTAACATCTAAGGTGGCTCACAAAATTCAGGTTAACATTGTATCATCATTTAAATAATAAGCTCTATTTAACCTAAGTATGTACATAAATCATTGAAAGTTTGGCTTTATGTTGTGTAATTGGTTTTGATAGGATCATTCCAGGTCAATTTAGGTCTTGCATGACATCACATCCTTATCTGAGACTTAAATGATTAATGGTATATGAGCTTAGTTTCACAAGAAAAAAGTTATTTACTGCAAATTTAGTGTCTGACACTTTATGGTTTCAGACTAGCTGATACCCTTTTCAATACTTTTTATAATTTTTAAAGTGTGAATAAAATTTTAACAAAACTTTTTGTACCAAACAGTTCAATAAATTACTGAAACAACACAAAATCAAAACTTTTATTTAAAAATTTAATTTTAAAATGTAGCCTGTACAATATCCTGTAAAATAATATCTCGGTACAAATATATTTTGTATCAAATTATCCAAAATACATTTTGTGTTACAAAATAAAAAGATTCTGAATTTATTGTTTATGGTTTTGTATTTAATTAAATATAATTTATTAAAAAAAAATTGTTTAAGTAAATTGTAAAAGAGCATTTCAAAAAAACTACAAAGTTTTCTTTTTTTAATTCTGATCTGCTTGCTTTGAAAGTTTGGCAAAAGTTAACCAAAAAAATATAGTAAAATATGAATTTTAACAATTAAACATGCATTTTTTTGTTTTCATTTCCCCAAGACTGAGGAAGTCACTTAATTCGAAGCAGCTACTCCTTTTTTATTTTAAATTGTTACAACCCTCTCTCAACCCATTAACGCCAAGCCAAAGAAAAACAAGTCTTGATACGAAGAAAGAGGGTGGACAACCAAGTTAAAAGTGATAATACTTTGACAATACTTGATTTGTGGCTGCACACAAATCAAGTGTTTTACCACCTTACACAAACCAGAGTGTTAGAATTCTCTGAATTCTCTAGAGTTTTCTATTAAATTCTCCAGACTTGCTTGTTCTTTCTGAGACTAATTTAAATTTTGCAATTATTTTATCTCATTGTTGATAGGTATCAACAAATATTTTTTGATTTGCAAAGGCTCCAATAGTCACATGCTTAGTTTAAGGGTATACATACACATCAACTCACTTACTTGTTGTCTAATCAGGTTTAAATCCTTTAAACATTCATTTATGTGCTTCCACTTAGCATCATCGCAACACTTACTACTACCTTAAAGCTGACTGGGATTCTTTTTGTGATTTTCTTAGTGACTGTCCTAGGGCTGATGTCTTTTCATTCTCCGCTTATATATTTGCTTCCTATGTAACTTCCTGGATCCAGGCAGGAATGGAAGATTTTAGTCCTTCTCATCGGTTTCTAGTCAATCCTCATTCTACTTTTACCTTCTTGTGCAGCTGTTATATCTAATTACAATCATTTTTTTCATCTTTTTCTCTCTCAAATTTCTTAAGAACAAAAGTCTATTTATTATTGCAAGAAATCGATGTAAAAAAGTGCTGCCTGATGCTAAGCTTCATTATTCTCAGTTCACTTAATCTTGTATCTTATATCAGAAGTTAGGCTCTAAAGACTTTTGAAAAATCTTCAACTGTCTCATTAACAAGAGTAGGTCTTTGTAGAATTTGGATCTGACTATGACAAAATATCATTATCTCCATCTCCTGGATAAGATGAATTTTTAAAAGTAAAATTTGGGGCAAAAGATCTAATTTTTACAAAATCAGAAGCTAAAAGAGTTGAAACTGTAAAATTAATTTCATGATGATCAATAGGCTTTTTAATAATCATTCTCCATCTCTCATTGACTGATCTTATTACTCTCCCAAGGATGAGGGCTGAACTGTTTGCAAAGAAGTTTTCTTCTAATTTGACTCTTCAATCTTATGGCCATTCTCTTCCTTCCATTCCAATAAATTTTTTTTTCAGGTTAACCCATTGTTAGTCTTTCCAGCTTCTGTTGCTAAAGTCATATCTCGATTGAACACTTCTACGGCTAGTGGTGCAGACAACATTCCTGTCACAGTCTTACAGAATTGTTCTCTAGAACTCTCTCTTAAAACTATTTAAAAAGTGCTTGAGTCTTGTTTTCCTGCTTGCTGGAAAATGTCAACTGTTGTTCCAATTTTCAAAAACTCCGGAGAGCATTCTGACCCCTCCCATTATTGTCTGATCAGTCTGCTTTCTGTTATTAGCAAGGTCTTTGAGTTTTTGATCAACAAAATTCTCACATCCCATCTTGAGTCAAACAACTTACTGTCAGACAATCAATACAATTTTCAATCTCTCTATGGCTGACTTGCTAACTGCTTTGATTAAAAGATTTTATTGTGTATTAGATAGAGGCGGTGAGGCCTGAGGTGAGGGTTCTTTAAATATTTTTGACAAAGTTTAGAAAAGTTTAAAGATCCTGTTTTTGTTCCTTATCTACATTAATGATTTTTTCTACAACCTTACTCTTTAGTTAGTATAGCTCTTTAGTTGTAATGTAACTTAACTTTAAACTCCTATCTTTGTGAAAAAGTCTTCTCTTTTCTATAAATTAGAACAAGTAGCCTATTTTGAATCTGATCTCACTTTTGTAACTGGAACTCACAATGGCTTGTATATTTTAACTCCAACAAGGCTCAGTTATTTACTGCTAATAACCATCACAATACTGTCCACCTTCCTATATAAATGAATAGCAACCCTCTCACTGAGACCTCTTTACATCTTGGATTTTTGTTTACTACTGACCATTCATGGAAACTATATAAACAGTCAATTGCTAAATTAGCATCTGCTAAGGTTGCTTCTCTTTATCGTGCTCACCATTTTCTTACCCACTTCAATCCTTTAAAACTCTCTCCCATATTTATGTTTTCTTGACTCATTAAACCTTCAAATTTTCAAGTTTTCTGTCAACTGTCTTCTTGCTCTATAACTCTTTTTTTTTTCTAATACATTTTAACTTAATAGTGGTTGCTTGCAGTCTTGTTGGGAGTGAATCAGATATAATATATATATATATATATATATATATATATATATATATATGTATATATATATATATATATATATATATATATATATATATATATATATATATATATATATATATATATATATATATATCAGCATGGAAAATAACGGGCGGTCAACGGTTAATGACCACCCGAAATGACTGAAATTGCTGTTTTGACCTCCCAAAAAGAATTCAAGGTTGACCAGTTGAAAAATCAGAGTTAGTCAGAAAAATCAAAAAAATCTTTTGTTAAACCCAATTTTAAATTTTTTAGATTTCATAACACCGTAAAACTTTGATAAAGCGTCTAAAACAATTTTATTGCTTATATGCTTAAAGTAGAAATAATTAATAAAATTGCTTTTATTCACTTCGTTAGAACAAAGCGAATTAAAATTCGCATCGTTGCAGCGTGAAATTTGTCATCGTTTATTAATACTCGCTAATGCTTTGATGAGTATTATACATGGCGTAAACTATATATATTAATTTTTTTGCTTCAGTTATTGAGATCAATTTTATTTAGTGTTTTTTTCCTTAACTGATTTAAGTTCTTATTTTATTATTATTTTAATAGTAATATAATATGCAATAATTGATGATTTTAGCACTAAATTTATTTTTGCTCTCTCTGTATCTTTTTATTTATTTTTCTCATAATTTTTTGTTGCAAATTGCATTTAACAAATGACTTTTTGTTTAATTTATTCATAGTCAATAAAATTTTAAATTATCAAGAAAGAGCAGCACACCAGGCTGCTCTGTGATGAAAATACAGTTTTTATATTTCAATTATGTTTATATTTCTGATGCCGGCGAAAAGAAAATTCATATTTGAAATTTTCGAGGTTGTTTGAATTCCCGCATTTTAGGTCAAAGCATTTAACACGCTTTGAGTTGTCTGTGTTGTCAAAGCATTCAATACGCATTGACAACACAGTTGGTGAGGAAGTTTTTTCTTTTTGAGCAGTTTCGAAAAAACTGCGCATTGAGTTGTTTTATGCGTCCACGCGGTTGAAGACTTTAGTTTAAAGACTCTGTTTGATTAAAGCAGAGTGAATAAGATGTTAACTTAATTATTTAGATAAATTTAAAATTACCAAATAAGCGTTTGCTTTTTTTTTTCATTTACTGAATACTTAAACACATATATATATTATCAGTATAAAATTTCGTTTTAATTAACATATAGTAGTATTATAGAAGTATTTCATAAAACGGTTATTAAATAACAAGTATTCAGTTTAAATGGTACTAACATTATTATCAACTAATTACCAGCAGCAGTTTATAAAATGATTTTTAATGAAACTTAAACAAATGAAAGTTATAAAATCGCTTTTCCAACGTTGGTAACGACTGAAGTTTTTATTTAACTATTATTTGAAGTTAATGTATGAGCTAAGAACATTTTCATTCAACCTTTTCATTTATTTTTATTGTGACTTCTCCCGCATTTTTCGAAGAATTGCAATTAATGAATTATTTTCAAATAAGTTCCAAATTAGCAATTGCGCGTTTGCACATTTTTTTTATTATTATATTGTAAGAAAATCATTAAACATCAACCTCTTAAAATGGAGGGGAATAAAAAGAGACAAACAACACTTTTATTTTTAATACAAGCAGGATCAGAATTAAATCAACCTGTTGAAAAGAAGAAAAAACTAAGTAGTAGAAATTTACAGCTAACAACAGCTCAAAAATGGATAAACACTACGCTTGCTAAATATAATGCAAATGAATGGCTAGAGATATCAACTAGTGGAAATTATGTTACAGCATTGAAATGTACTGTATGTCGTCAGTATGCTGGACAAATTGATATTTATAAAGGATATACGCCAGAGTGGGGAAGCGGTGAAGGTAGTTGTAGGATACAACACTGTGCTGCAGTTGATCATGCGAATGGGTTGCCACATCAAAGAGCATATGAATTAGCAATGAAAAATAAAGGAATGGATGTAAGGGAACGAAATGATAAATTAATCAACCTGCAGAAAGAAATGCAGCAAACTAATATTTTATCGGGCCTGAAAACCATGACGAAAAATTTAAATTTAACTTGAAAAAAATTTGAGGTAGCATACTTTATTTCTAAAGAAGAGCTACCACTTAGCGTATACCCAAAAATACTATGCTTGGAAGAAAATCATGGTGTAGAGCTTGGTCAAGCGTATAGAAATAAAGTAATTTGCGGAACTTTTATTGACTATATTGGATTGAGTTTATCAAATAATCTTAAAAATAAATTAAAAACACAAAATTATTTCAGTATTTTAATTGATGCATCAACAGATGTTTCTGTAATTGAATATTACAGAAACATCTGTTGATGTTTCTATAATATTCAGTTACAGAAACATCTGTTGATGCATCAATTAAAATAATTGATGCATCAACATAATTGAAAGCTATTTTTATTATTAGTTTTGATCTAACTCCTATAGGAAAGACCGAAATATGCATTGAATGCTCTTTCCTTTCTATTTCTGATCTTGAATATAAAACATCTGAAGGAATTTTCAATAAAATCAGTCAATCCCTTGATTCAGAATGTATCAAAAATTATAAAACTAAATTAGTTGGTTTCGGTGCTGATGGCGCATCTGTAAATAGAGGAAATAGGACAAGTGTCAATTTATTACTTCAGAAGGAAATTCCATGGATAACTTTCGGTTGGTGTGTTGCACATCGCCTTGAGTTAGCGTTAAAAGATAAATTTGGAGAAATAAAGGCATTTAATGATGACAATAGCATCCTTTTGAAAATGTATGCAATTTATAAAAAATCTCCCAAAAAGTTACGACAGTTAAGAGAGCTTGTTGCTATTCTTGAAGAGGGTAATGCATTTGACATTGCAGGTAATCGCCCCAAAAAAGCATCAGGTATATTAGATTTCATTTTAATTTATTCTATAAAAAAGGCTTTATAAAGTAATACTTCATTACATGCTCGTCTTTTTAAACAACAAAAGTTATTTATAAAAAAGTATTTCGATCAATAAAAAAATTAAATTCGGTAAAATATTATGCAATAAAAACTTTTTATAAAAGTATAAGTTATTTGTTTAATAATAAATAGGAACACGATGGATTGCACATAAAATTCAAGCACTTGAGATGCTCTTAGACAAATATGGAGTATATATGAAACATCTCGAAAACATGGCTGCAGATTTTAGTTTTACCCAAGCAGAAAAAGCAAAGTTTAAAGGGTACCATCAAAAGTGGAATCATGGACGAATACCTCTTTATATAGCATTATTCATAGAAATTTTATTGCCATCTAAATTGTTATCTTTATCTTTTCAAAGCAACGAAATTGATTCAGTAGCATCTTCTGGATTTATTGAACAAACTAAAAAGCAGTTAAGTCGTTTGCAGAAAAAAGAGTTTAATGATTTACCAACAGTCAAACGTTTCCTATCAAAAGTAGCAAATAGTAATGGAAAGTATTCATTTCAGGATGTCGAGCTTCATGATTTTACAAATGCACTAACTCTAGTTAAGAATTCGAAATCAATGATTGTAGTGTTAATTACCAAATCCATAGAAGAGCGTTTGGAAGCACAAAATACAGTTCCTGATATGTACGGAATGTTAATGCTAAACACTGGCGGTTGGTATCAAAATAACACAAATAATTCATTTGCAGATGATAACATTGAAAAATTGTATGACTTTTATAATATGCCGTTTCATTATGCTGGCTTCACTGGGAATGTGAACAATATGTTAGATGCTTGGCATAGTTTAGTTGATTATACTGTTAAATATTTAACACCATATAGTACCGTAAAGTATAGTATCAAATTTTCTTGAGTGCTATGAAAAAAGAGTGGAGTTCAGTTCTTCTTCTTGTTGAATTGTTGTTTGTATTGCCTGTTTCAAATGAAAAAGTTGAGCGTCTTTTTTCTCTTATGAATAGAATTAAATCTGACACAAGAAACCGATTAACCGAAAAATGGCTAAATAATTTAATTCGGATATGCGCAGATGAAACAAACAGTGATGAATTTGATGTAAATCCTGCCATTGAATTATGGGCCGAAGATGCGTTGCGAAGGCCTAGAAATCACAAAAATTTATTTAAAAAAAGAAAAGAAAAAAACTATAAAAACATTAGTTGATTTGGAATCGTCATCAGACGAAACCTTAGATTTAAAATCGTCTACCGAAGAAACTTTAGATTATGAATCAGACAAAATGTATCTTTAAAAATATATTAAGTTATAAAAAACTGTCTGAAAAGAAACATGCATTCGTTAATTTTAAATCAAGTCTTTATTTTATTTACATGTCATGAAGAATAATTACTGAAATAAAAATTTTAACAAAGAAAAAAAAAATTTGACCGCCCAAAATAAAAATTTGACCGTCAGTTTTATGTATTAGCCGGTCATATATATATTTATATATATGATTTTTATGTATTAGCCGCTGATATATAAATATATATATATATATATATATATATATATATATATATATATATATATATATATATATATATATATATATATATATATATATATATATATATATATATATATATATATATATATATATATATATATATATATACACACACATATATATAGGCCATTTCTCACAATATTCACATACAATGGAAATACATTGTACTGTGCATAAAATGGGATAATAAAAGTACTCATTTTCTTCAACAAGCATTTAAAGCATGCTATTTTATTGAGTTCATAAACAATTTTTTATTATGTATTTTTTACTTTACTTTAAACAGTTATGAGGGGGACTGGACAGATATAGTAACTTGATGAGTTAACAGATGCATTTATAAATACATAAGTTATATATTTAACAAATTTCTTTTTGATAATTTATTTGTGACTATCAGTTCTAATATAATATGTAATTTATTTTAAACAATCAATATTTTTATTTATTTTTACTTAAATGTTTTATAATTCCTATATTTATAACTAAGAATAAAAAGGTTTTTTTTAGTGGTAAAAAAAATAAATATGTTGGCTTTCTACATAAATGGTGGTAATTTTTCAATAGCAAAACGTATTATAGGTATCAAAAATGTAAGTTTTTTCTAAACATTTTTTAAACAACTAATTTTTACTGATAGTAAGTATTATTTCAAATCTGTACTTTTAAAAGCCAACATGTACAAAAGTATTTTAATGCTCCTTAGTTATTTTTGTTTCAACTCAGTAATACAATGATTGCAGTCATTAAAAATAGAATAATGCAAAATATAATTAATACTACTAATAATAATAAATTAGTATAATCTAATGAGGATTTTGTTACTTTTGGATTTTATGCATTAAATTGTGTGCAATTTGTTATTTTAACACTTGTAAATATATTTTAGATGTCAAAATTTGTTAATTAAAGTTTTTAGTTTTGTATTATAATTTTTTTTTTATATAAAAAGTACAACCAGAATACTTTTTTGTTTTACTGGCTACCTGCATTTCAGTTATCTAAAAATTTGCCAAGCTGTTTTGTTTTCAAAAAATGTTTCTTTTAATAAACTTTTTCTTAAATTTTATTGAAAAAATTATATTTATAAAGAAAAAGAGTAAATGCATTAAAGTGCATTATATGCAAAAAATAAAATAAAATAAAATAAAAAAATATGAAAATATTTTAATGATTTAAGTTTTACTTTATTGTCCTGCTAAAACTAATTTCTTACCAACTTGTTTATTCAGAGATTATTTAGATTTTTCTTTAAGAGAATACAGCTCGTCTTTTTTTAGTGGCTCATCCGACCATATGCATCAGATGAAATTGATTCTCAAACATTTCATTGGTTAGCGAACTTAGAATTTATTCAATTAGTGACATTATTTTTAAAATTTGGATATGAGTTAAAATTGCAGAAATTTAGTAAGGTAATATTTTATTATTATTTTTATATGCTATTCACCTCCCAACTGCTGAGAGGGTCATTACAGTTGAGGAGGCTACTTAATTGTGGTTACAACCCTCTCTCAACTATTTAACTCTGGAACACGAACCTAGGCAAACCAGATTGCTATGTGGAAAAATAAGTTAAGCGCAGTACTACCAGGGATGTGGTTGGGAGCAAACTATTATTTAAAACATTTTTAAATTTAATAAAATTTTAAACTGTAAGCTAAGTGTAAAACCTTAATTGTATAAAACTAAGTTGTATCAAACTTGAATGAACATTTAAGTAAATTTAAGAAAAGTTTAGAGACATTTAAATTATTTGGATAGATATTTTATATATTTATATTACATATTATATATTACTGTTAACGTGTGATTCTGCATGTGTAATAACCGGTGATTTTAATTTACGACGTATAGACTGATAGATTCCTATCAGTTTTGGTGTTGTGTGCCATGATTTTTTTGTAGAAACTTGTTTTATAAATGCTCTCACCCAACTCGTAACTGACAATACTCGACTTAATAATTTGTTAGACCTCATCTTAACAAATAATAAAAAAATTGTTTACAATGTGGAAACAGCTGCTCCATTCACCAGCACTTGCGACCATTCCACCATACTATTTAATTGTAATTTGATGAATTCCAAACGTCGTGAACTATCTAGTACTCACAATTTCTATAAAACTGACTATATTTCAATTAATAACGACTTACTTAACGTAAACTGGTATATGTTGGCCTAAAAAAACCCAGGCGTTGAATCATTCTGGCAAGCTATTTGTAAAGTCCTGAGTGTATCTATTGCTTCTCATGTTCCTTCATTATGCAACAAAAAAAAACTTGTTCAACCCCTTGCTATTCGTAAATTAGCGTCCAAAAAACGTACTCTGTACAGACTTCATAAAAGAACTCATAGACTCATTTCAATGACTTCTATTAGTTTAAAAAGATATCTTTAACTTAATAACTTTATCTCTATTCACCAATATGGGTTCTTAAAGCATGGATCTACATGTACACAGATGTTAGCTTCTCTTAATGAATGGACCTCAGCTGTTAACAAGAAAAAAGAAGTTGATATTATCTATATTGACTTCTAAAAGGCATTAAGTTAGTGTACAAACTGAATTGTTATGGCATTAAGTACGAACTTCTAAATTGGATTACCAACTTTTTAACTGATCGATCCCAATGTGTTTGCATTGGTAATTTTTACTCAAAATACATACCTGTAAAGAGTGGAATACCCCAAGGAACTGTGTTGGCTCCGACTTTATTCTTATTATTTATTAATGATGTAGTTTCTTGTATCGAAGGTGATTGTCGAATAAAGCTGTTTGCTGACGATAGCAAATTATACCAAACGAGAGACAAAAATAACAATGCTGACCTTAAAATAACATTAAAAAAGTTCTCTGATTGGACAGCTTACTGGCAACAAAAAATAGCATTTAAAAAATGTTTCCACTTATGTTTTGGAAGTAAGTCTATGACTATTCATTCGTATTCGTTTTGCCTGGACACCCTGATAACGACTGTTAACTGTATTGAAGATATTGGTATTACGGTATCTTCGGACACAAAATTTTCCAAACACTGTTCTCGTATTGCCAAAAAAGCTTAAGCCCGTCTATATTTATTTTTCAAAACCTTTATCAGTAATGATCCAAATCTCCTCTTAAAAGCCTACAAGGTCTATGTGCGTCCAATCTTAGAATCTTGCACCCCAGTGTGGAGTCCTTACCTTCTTAAAGATATACGTTGCATTGAAAACGTCCAAAGATACTTCAGCAGAATTACCTGTAAAAGATGCCATATCTCTTACACTGATTAAGCGTCCAGACTATCTGTTTTAAAACTCAATTCTCTTGAACACCGCAGAGTCAAATTTGATTTTTTTATGATCTACAAAATTATAAACAATCTTGTTGACCTTCCTTTTTCTGATTTCTTTATATTTTCCAATTCTCATTACCCCACTAGAAGTCATGCGAAAAAATTAGTTTCATGCAATAAATGTACTAACGATACACATAGATTTTTTTTCAGTGAAAGAATTGTAAAAATATGGAATTCATTGCCTGCTCACATTGTCAATTCGTCTTCATTATTCATATTCAAAAATAAACTACAAACTTACAACTTAAAACAAAGTTGCGTATTGTATTAAATTGCCTTTGTTCAGGTGTTACATAAGCGTAATCTTGTGATTACCTGTCTCACCCGTTTGTATTTTAATGTATCTTTTTTAATGCAAATAAATATTATTATTATTATTATTATTATTATTATAAAGACTGAATGATTATGATCCACGATATTTTTGAAACATTTCAAGAACCACTCAATCGATTTTGTAATTTTTTTTTAATCAAATTTATCTCTAAATATAGTAAAGCTTTTAAAAAACAATATTTTTTTATAATTAACATTATTTTCTTACTTTATTGTTTACAATAATAAAGTGAGAAAGTATTGAGATCAGTTCAAAGGATTTGGGCAACCATTTTCGTCATTCATTATAATGCACTTTTGATTAATGTGTTTTTGGCTTTTGCTGGGTTGCTGTTGGAATCTTCCAGGAAACTTCTACTTCCTATATGTCTTTGTAAAAATATCTCTTTTTGATTTGTTTGATTGTCAACTTGCAGTTTTTCTTTGATATCCCAAACTGAATGCACTGGATTTGCATCAATCCTCCTTATCACCTTTTTATCAAGTTTGAACTTGGCTGACCTCGTTCACCTTCACTTTACAATTTCATGATACGACTGACAGTTTTTATTTGGGCTTTACACTTTTTTGCTAGCGAGATAATCCAAAATGAATTCTGCTTGCAAATACATTTTCTTTGTTTACAATCAACTTTTAAAACTACCATTATATTATTACGGAGATAATTTTGGTTCAAACAATAAAAAAGTTATCAAACTCAATTGAGTGGTTATCATAATGTTTAAAAAATGTCATGGGTCATTATCATTTTAGAAAGTATTAAGAGCTGTGTATTGAGATTTGAATTTTAAGAACAATTTTTTATAAGCTGAATATCATCCACAAAAACATCCCAGGATTTGACATAAAAATTTATCATAGATTTTTCTTTAGGCTTTGTCTTGACAACTGTCAAAATATGCTTTGTCTAATAAATAATTCTCCTTTATTCTAATGTACTTCATTTCTTCCCTCAGGCGTTCACTGCTCGTGTGTGACCATTTGGCGAATTTTATATGCCAAAGTTTTAAAATAATATTGGGCCTAGCCCGTAAGGGTTAGTGTTACGGTCATCGAGCACAATTATTTTCCTAATCGCAATTACTGTCACCGCGAAAGAGGATTTTTATCTGTGGAAGATGCCCGGGCTAGCTTTTTAGTCATAAGTCAGTTATAAATCCATGCATAGGTGTTAAATTCATCATGGTTTTCTGGAGTATGGCTGGGCTGGCTTGGTTTAGTTCAGGGACAAATCTTTTACGCTGGTTACTAACAATACAAGACTCTACTGAACGACATAAATAGCACAGACTTACACATTACACCTATACACCCTTATGCACATACAACCTGTTTACATCTTTTGCATGCTTTTTGTTCTTTCATAGAATTTTTCTTTAGAAATTTATCATAGATTTTTCTTTAGGCTTTGTATTGAATGTTATGTTTTCTTTAGGCTTTGTATTGAATGTTATGTTTTCTTTAGGCTTTGTATTGAATGTTATGTTTTCTTTAGGCTTTGTATTGAATGTTATGTTTTCTTTAGACTTTGTATTGAATGTTATGTTTTCTTTAGACTTTGTATTGAATGTTATGTTTTCTTTAGACTTTGTATTGAATGTTATGTTTTCTTTAGACTTTGTATTGAATGTTATGTTTTCTTTAGACTTTGTATTGAATGTTATGTTTTCTTTAGACTTTGTATTGAATGTTATGTTTTCTTTAGACTTTGTATTGAATGTTATGTTTTCTTTAGACTTTGTATTGAATGTTATGTTTTCTTTAGACTTTGTATTGAATGTTATGTTTTCTTTAGACTTTGTATTGAATGTTATGTTTTCTTTAGACTTTGTATTGAATGTTATGTTTTCTTTAGGCTTTGTATTGAATGTTATGTTTTCTTTAGACTTTGTATTGAATGTTATGTTTTCTTTAGACTTTGTATTGAATGTTATGTTTTCTTTAAACTTTGTATTGAATGTTTTCTTTTAGTACTCTTATTTTGAGGATTTAATTAAAGGCTCGATTTTTTATATTTTGATTTTTATCCTGCACTGTACAAATTTCTCGCAAACAAAAATATGAATTCCTTTTGAGGTTCTCAAAAACATACTTTGAATCTTGTTATCTTGAAGGTTGACTAGTTGAATGATTTTGTACAGATGTTGGCAAGCATTTTTTGTAATTTCCATTTCATTAAACATTCAACTTGAACAATAAACTTAGTTATTGCTAATAACTCAGTGGATGTTGTTCAGAACTAATTTTTATTTATGTTATTCTTAAAGCCAAAGTTAGCCATCATGCATGACAAAAGCATGATGCATTCTAAAAAGTTTGCAAAAAAAAACTGTACCAGATTTTTTTGCAAACTTTTTAGAAATAAAACCTTTTGAAATACCAACACAGTACTCAGAAGTTTTTATCGGTCTGTATTTAGCTTAAAACTTTGCTGTTAACAATCAATTTTGTTCCTGAATCTGAGTGTAAGTTGAAGCAATGGCTTTATGAAGAGTTTGATTAGATGCAGCTTGTCCGAAAAGCCCCTTGTAAGACTTAGAGTCTAATTTTTCATCTAATTCAATTATAAGGTGTCACAGTGGCATTTCAACATGGCGCAGCATACACCCTGTAGAGTGTAAACTACTTTTTTAAAATTTTTTCTAGTTTGACAACCAAACTGTTATTTACACCTGCATTTGAACTTATATTATCTACTATAACAGCTACTAAGCTCTGAATACTATTATTATCTGATAAAACATTAGAGCAGCATTTCCCATAGTAGCACCAATCCCATTAGGTATAACTATATGAGTCAGGTATAACTATTAGTCACAAACTATAGTTATTTAAAGTTTTTTGCACAACTGTTGTACAAGATCCTCTCAAAGTTATTGTAGAGTATAAGTAAATTTGCTTAAATATATGTTCTTTTTAATTTACTTTAAAAATTATATAAAATGTAAGCTTATGTAGTTTAAATTTTATTTTACATTTTTTTGTTTATTTTTAATAACAATTTGTTATTCCTTATAAAAAATGCCTACTTAAAAAATATTAATAGTAAATTTAAATTTACATTCAGTACTATATTAATATATGAATTACATAAATTTACATAAATGTAAATTTATGTAATTTATTTTCACATGGAAGTTTTTTTACATTAACAGTAATATAATTTCTTTAAAATAAGTTATTTTTATATAAATATAAATTATAATTTGAGGAACTATTATATTATGTAACGTTTTTTTTAAATAGTAGTTACTTCGTTAAAGTAAACAGCTTTTTCCTGTGAATTGCATTAATTTACTTACATGTAAAATTAAATTAATTTTTGATGTAATCTACTTTTACATAACCTACTTTTGAAAGCAAAAATAGTTACATTTTTTGATGCTGCTCCTTTTTCAAGTCCTTTGGAAGATTTTTAAAGATCTTTATGGTTTTTTGGTCAGTCTGATATTTTTTCAGCATAGTCAACACATTTTCAGCATAGTCATTAACACATTCAATCAGCTTCATAAATATTTTAAATAAATAAAATATTTAATGATGTTTCCCTTGATCCACTTTTCCACTACTTGGAAAATAATTTTAAAAAGAATCTTAGCTACCTTATAATAGGATTCAGCTCTGTGAATCTACAAGTTCAGTAGGCACTATAGACTTGTTAGTAACCCTTCACTTCAGTTTGCTGATTTAAAATCGCTCAGAAACATCACACTTGACCAACAAGTTTTTTAATTAAAGATCCAGAATTTTAGTAATTGTAGCTGAAGGAACATTCAAAGACTTTTAGTAATTGTAGTTAAAGGAACATTCAAAGGCTTTTAGTAATTGTAGTTAAAGGAGTTAACGGAACACAAGACGATTGTAGTAAAGTAAGAAGATTGTGTGATAGAGGAATTAAACATGCAAAGATGAGTAGAAATTTTATCTCCAAATTTTATAAAAATTAAAACCATATTTTTTCAGTAGGCAAAAAAACAAGAAGCACTTAAAGTAGAATCTATTTAGTTTTGAGTTTTTAAACTGTCATAGTTAAAACAATGTTTTTTGGATCAGTAATCATGTTCATTATTGTAATATATGTTTTTGTTAATATATTTTTATTTTTTTAATATTTTTTTAAATCATATATATTTTTATTTTTTATCTCTATCATCTTTTGAACCAAAGGTCATGTTATGTGAATTCAAAGGTCATGTTATGTGTTGTCAAAGGTCATGTTATGTGTTGTCAAAGGTCATGTTATGTGTTGTCTAAGGTCATGTTATGTGTTGTCAAAGGTCATGTTATGTGTTGATCAAAAGATCTTTTAATAATCGCATATCTGAATTGCATAAATTTAGGTTGTTTCTAGATTTGTTTTTCTTTAAATATCAGGTTTTCTAATCCAATACACTTTGTTTTACTTTTTTTAAGGATGTATCTGGCTAGTTTTGCTGCTTTTTTTACTTTTCTTTTTGTTCAAAGTTGTTACACATGGAAACATTGTTAAACCTGGAGGAAAATTATTTAAATATTGCTTAACTGAAAAATATCACATAATACCGTCAAAATTTATTAAAGAAAAGAACTGAGCTGCTATCAAAATGTTGGCGTGAAAATAAATTTTTTATAAACAACTTTAATGTCATCAAAGCAAACACATTTTTTTTGTACATTTTTTTATTGTACAAGGTTATTTTCATCAAAGTCAGAAAAAATAGAGAGTCAAAAAAGATTTAGAGAGTAGATGTATTTAAAAAGATTTAGGGGGTAGATGTATTTAAAAAGATTTAGGGGGTAGATGTATTTAAAAAGATTCAGGGAGTAGATGTATTTAAAAAGGTTTAGGGGGTAGATGTATTTATGTCTAATTGGTGCCTGAGATTAAGATTAAATTTAGATGAAATTTAAAATGACAAAATTACTATAATCAAATTAATACTATGAATTTGCGTTAATACTAATTATTAAATAATTCATTTTTAATAATTAATAGATAAATAATACCAATTATTGTTTCATTCGATTTATTTGATTGCGAAAAACGTTTTACTGGAAACTGAGTTTTTGTTACTGGAAACCCAGTTGTTTTGTAGCATTTTAGTTAGAGTTATAGAAAAATCTATAACTCTTATTTTATTAAGTAAAAAATTTTAATAAGTAAAAAAAAAATCTTATGCTCTTCTATTTTTTAGAAACTTTAATTTCCATTTTTAGAAACTTTAATTTAATTTGAAATTATTTTAATAAACTTTTATATTCAACATGCTATTTTTCCCAAAATAGAAATTTCTCAATCATACATATATTGAAACTTATTTTTCTCATTTGTGGCAAGCTTAGAATATTTTTAAAATCTTTTGGCATGCTAAGAGTATTTTTCTCATTTGTGGCAAGTTAAGAATATTTTTTTCATTTGTGGCAAGCTAAGAATATTTTTTTCATTTGTGGCAAGATAAGAATATTTTCTCATTTGTGGCAAGCTAAGAATATTTTCTCATTTGTGGCAAGCTGTTTTTTTAGAATGTTTCTCTTTTTTTTATCTTAGAGTAAAAATGTTTGTTTTTTTCTTTAGGTGGTATCTTGTATTTCTTTTTATTCTTTTTTTTATAAATTTTTTTAAAGTAAAATTTAAAATTGACATTTTATAATCAATTTATTTTTAAATTAAGTAAATGTGAACTCATATTCATTGCTTTTTAATCCTTTATAAAAATTTAAGAAATAAATATTGTTTTTGTGAGTTTTATTCAATCACTATAGTTATTTCAGTTAATTATTTTAAAATAACACAAAATTAATGTTTTTTTTTTTATGCTAGATAGACCTTTTAGAGTTCATAGAAAAAATATGTCAAGTTCAAGGCTTTGACAATTTGAAATTAAACCTTGAACCCCCACCTTTTTAAGAACCAAGGATCTTAATATTGGAAGTATAATTATATTGAAACATAATATTTATTGAAAATATTATATTTCAATATAATTATACTTTAATTATTAATTAAAACAGGTTTTAAGGCTTATCTAAGGAGCTAAGTTTTAATAGTGTAAATTTAGGGATGATTTGAAATTTCAAAAATGATTTGAGTATTTATATTTATGCAGCAACAAACCTTAATTATTGAAAATAAAAAAATCTGGAAATAATATCATAATAATAATAATACTTCAATCTTTAATTTTTTTTTTACAGGAGATAAAGAAAAATAAAGATAAGATTGGGATTGAGTCAAAGTCATTAGTTAAAACCAAATGCATTTTGTGCTTTCAGAGAATTCAACTTGCAAGTTCTACTTTTTGTGGTCATGTATTTTGCTGGCAATGTATCATTGAGTGGACCACTGCAAAGGTTGTTATTATGGTTTCTTATGATGATATATACTTATACATTCTTATGCAGTTTTAAATGTATCTGAATGATTATAAAATAGTTATGCAAGCATTTTACAAGCATTTTACCAAAGTTCTACAAAGAGGAGTGAAAGCCATTTTGATTAAAAACAACTAATTACCTGGAAATTTATTAAATTAGTCATTACAAAAATAAGTTTTCTTATACATTTTCTTATATGTTTGCTCAAAATTACATGTTTGCTCAAAACATTGAAACAAGCTAAAAACTTGTTTTAAAGTATTTGAAAAAGATTTAAAAGTTTTAAAATTTAAATTTTTTAAAATTTAAAGTTTTTAAAAAATTTTCAAAAGTTTGTAGCTAAAACCTTACTTTAAGAAAAAATAGACTTACTTAGAGAAGATTGACTTTTTGCTGTGTTTAATGCGGCAACTTGATTAGGTAAACAGGTTTATAACATCTTTTATGTAGACAGCAAATAAGAGACAAATTTCAAATTATTTTTACAAAACTTCAGATTGTGAAAAATTTCGATCCTTTCGTTAATCAATTCTCCTCCCTTTTTTTTGGGCAGGCAAGGAATCCATTATGTATGTACATAAGTACATAAGCAGTAAAACCACTGATTTTGGACAGCGCTTACATCTTACATCTCTTTCCTTTTTGTATTTCTGTTACTTTTGTATTTTCGTGATAAAAAAATTTATCCTGATTAAGAATCGTATAAAGAGCGAAACGAAAAGTTCTAATACTTTTGTATTCTAATACTTTTGTATTCTAATACTTTTGTATTCAAATACTTTTGTATTCTAATACTTTTGTATTCTAATACTTTTGTATTCTAATACTTTTGTATTTTAATACTTTTGTATTCTAATACTTTTGTATTCTAATACTTTTGTATTCTAATACTTTTGTATTCTAATACTTTTTGTATTCTAATACTTTTGTATTCTAATACTTTTGTATTCTAATACTTTTGTATTCTAATACTTTTTGTATTTTAATACTTTTTGTATTCTAATACTTTTGTATTCTAATACTTTTGTATTCTAATACTTTTGTATTCTAATACTTTTGTATTCTAATACTTTTGTATTCTAATACTTTTGTATTCTAATACTTTTGTATTCTAATACTTTTTGTACAATTCTTAATCAGGATTAATTTAATGCTGGTTTAGAAAGCTCTCTTATTTAAACTTCATGTATATTGATTGTGACTTTATTATTTCATCATTATTTTTTATCAGCTTTTGTAAAAGGTACCACAAAAACAAACATCTTAAACAACTTAATTTAACAACTTAACATCTTATTTAAATAAACAACTTAATGAAACTTACAGAAGTTTGTTGAGATTAACAGCCACAAAGCAAAGATAACCAACAGTAATAAAGTCATGATGAGTTTTCTATGGCCTGTTTAGAAAGGCGCTACTATTAGGAGGCCTGGAACTGCTTTCATAATTGACATAATTGTAA